CAAAGAACAGGAAGGAGGTGTAAGAAGATGAAAAAGAAATGAATGCAGATATAGGGGGCTACAAGCATAAATCACAACAAAAAAAATTGCTATTTTAATTTGTACCTAGTGTTTATTTGTGCTCTATGTTCACCTTCATATATCTTGTGTGTGTGGACGTTTACAAGGATGTGGTTTTTCAACAAAGAACTGAGGGGAGTTCAGTCTAGGTCTCAACCATCTCTAAGAACCAACACATTTAAAGGTCAGTGAGACATTACCAGAACTACTATGGCCTCCTTCTTCTGGGTTTCAGCCTAAGAACAGTAAGGGAGAAATAAAATCCGCAAGGTTAATTGGGATACTCTTCATCGAAGGATCAAGTATGAGTCAGATCTCAGATCCCAGAGCAATTTGTCCCACAGTCTTGGCTCAGCCTTTGAAAAAGATGAGCAAGGCTCCACTTGCTCAAAATTTCTTTTCATCGACTGGGGAAGGTGGAATAAGCATGCACAGCTCCTGAGGCAGAATTCTCTTATAATGCTGGATATTTCCAGTGGTGTGCAGGGGCAGGGTTTGTACAGCAAGTGCAGACTGCTCAACACCTGGCAAAAACTCAGCAACACCAAACACATGTGCCTTCTCCCAGTCCAGTACTGAGAGGCCACCATCAGGTGGGAACTGGCAAGTTTGTTTGCAATTGCTAAAGACAAGGTTATGTGCAAATTATATTCTGAGGTGAAAAGTACATATTAACAATTATTTCTTGAACACCCTGAATTATATTTCCTTGTTTCCTACAAATTCCTGAACGAGGGAGGTCTCATCTTTTTTTTTTGTTTTTTTTTTTTTTTGTTTTTTTTGGGTCACAAAGGCTTCTTAGTTTTTCAGGCTAACACGTCAAAGGTAATACAGCACTATCATAAAAAGAAACTGCTGCTCTTCCCACAGACCAGCCACTAACTCCAACCATTCCTTTCCTGATTCAAGGAAGTCAGATGGATTCTGCATTTCCTCACAAATCAGAAGAAAAACACGAGCACATTTTCATTGCTAAATCTGTACTACAGCTAATAATTTAACATGAACTTCTTTTATTTTATTTTCTCTTCACAGAATAATTTTTTTTTCAAATATTTTTAAAACCTTTCCTGGTTTAAACACTGAAGAGACTTGCAATTCTAGTCATAAGGGAAAAAGTAAGAAATTGAAAAAAAAACCCAACCCCACAAAAAAACCTTACAGAATATGTGAAATCAACTGTAGAAAATTTGTTTAAAGGGTGGAGATGAACTTGAATTGGTCTTGAACAGGTATCAGCTGATTCTGCCGAATGGCCATCAAAGTCAAGGACCATCATAAAAATCAAAGCAAGGACGTTTGCTAGGCAACGGCTTATTTATTTATTTTTTTAATAAAGTTCAGTGCTGCGGTCAACATATTTACTTTTTACAAATGTTTCTTTGATTTAGAGAAAACCACTTCAGTTTAGCTGTTAAATACTGAATACTCTGTTTCCTACTTCAAGCTTCACAGAAGCATATTTCATAATTAATATTTGTATGCTTTTTAGACATGAGTCCTCATATTTGTACAGCTCCCTATAAATCATACCAACGAATGACAGAAAGGACCAATTAGAGCTTTTGCACACCAGGGTAGAATGGCACTTACATGTTTGTGCAGCTTCATTTTAATGGTTTCAGGTTCCACAGTTTCCCTGAGGAGATTATTTGAGAGCTTACTGCAATTTATTCTCATGATAGGCAGCTTCAACATTTCCTTTTCAAATTGTATCATAGTACACTTACATGCAACATAATGTATCACACATTTTCTCCTCTCATGGAGCAAGGTAGATTCTATAAATCCTGCAAGAAATTCATCACCTCTTCTTATGTCCTTGTAAATCCTTATTAGATGAGCTACATAGCATATGCCAACCTTGCCAGCAACATCATAGCGCTCTTTTGCGCTTCGCTACAAAAAAGTAGCAGTCAAACCGCAATACTATAGATGTACTTACTCAAGTAATCTTAATTCAAATTAACCCGAAAAAGGAAGACAGTATATTTTAAAATTATTAAGATATATGGTATAAGAATAAAATACTGCCCTTTATTTATGCATGCTTGCGGAGTCTTACCCCCACTTTCTCAGGGTCATATAATAACATTCCAGGAGCAAGTTTCGTCATGTGCCCCTGAAAGGATCCAAATAAACTTCCCAGTTCACTGCACAGAAAGCAGTAGCATCCTGTACGTGTGGCTTATTCTGCCCTGCCATGTGGGCTGGCCCCTACACCCCTCTGTTTATCACATGATAAACCGGTTTGTTTGCAGACTCCCAGCCTGCCTTTCCCATTCAAGCTCTGCCACAGGATTGCCCCTGTTCCAGGGCTCATGCTCAGCTCCTGCCTTCACTGGTGAATTTTCTTTCACGAGAAACAGGGCTTAGTTCCATCTTTTTACACTTGCAGATTAAAGGGACTGCAGAGGTGGGGAAACACATTTCTGCAAATGGCTGTGCATTTTAAGTGACCTCTCTTAAGTTATACAGATCATAGCAGAATTTTAAAGAAAACAAATGAGAAACAAAATCCAGGGAAGCACCTCTTAACCTCCAAATAGTTCATGGAATCTAAAACAACCTAGAAGATGGCCATCAAATTACAAATAATGGAACAGTATTCCTACCCAACAAATGAGTCCTTTAAATCTACAGAGTCTCCTGGAACCTTTTTCAGTTGGTACACATGTGGTAATAAGAAATTAAGGAAACCATCATAGAAGTGATAAAAAATTAGAATACTGTTTGTACACTCAATAATAGAGAACAGCTACCCTAACAGTGAAGGTTTAAGAGCTAAAGGAGCAGGCAGGTGTCTAATGCTCCACTTGATTTTACAGTTGTGGAAGATGCTACAAATACCAAAAACTCTTATGTGGCTAATAGTAATATTAGATCATTTTTGGAAGCTGGCTTTAGAAAACTAACAACTTCCAGCTGAACATCTTCAATACCCTCATCACACTTTATGTCCTATCCCTACCAGTCAGGGAATAAGTGCGTGTGCTGGAGCCCTCCCATGTGAGAGATTCATGAGAGAGCAGATCCTTGTGGGAAGCTACAGTGAGCTCCTCCCTGGCTACGTGGCATGCGGGCCCTGTTGGAGGGAGTCTCTGCTTCATTCTTCAAGTAATCTGTCGTTTATTATTGAAATCAGCCTCATATGGCTTGAAGTCACTGGAGAAGGAGAAAACGAGAGAGCAGCCAAATCATCTGGAATGCAGCTAAAATGCTTTAGAGGGTTTAAGGTTAAAAGGGATCACTGGATCACATACTCCAAGAAGTCTTATCACTAGTCCCAAAGTGAACCAAGAAGCTTGTTTATCATTAAACCATCATTTATCATTTGCAGTAAGTTATCTCAGCTCCCAACCACTGATTCTTCCTCTACAAATCTTCTGCCATTTTAAAAAGCTTTGGCATGTGGTACTTTTTCCTCTGGAAGGGATTTGAACACTGCAGTAAAGCCATCTCTTGCAGATCCTTTTTGACAAATTAAATTGATGTAGCTTTTTTAATGTATTGTTGTAAGAAGTTTGCTCCAGTACTGCCCAGCACCACCTGATCTTTAATGTCTGAGCTACACACTTTATTCTAGTATCTTTCATTAACACACACAGTAACTGATTTCCTGTACACCAGTCCTTACCAGGATTGGACTGTAAGTCCAACAGTCACCCTGGACACAACGCACCGGGACTTTATCTGTAACAGTTTGCTTGCAACTGTTTTTAGACCATCTTTTCCAAAACATAAGCTCTCATTCCGAAGGTATGGCTTGTATTCTTGGGAATATATATACGTCTGGCTGCAAAGGCATGTGTGAAAGTGTTAATTTCACTGAGCTGTCCAGATGACACTGCAGTTGCTCTCACAGTAGTTGACTAAGTTACCATTTAGCACACCCATGGATTTTATTAACAACGAGTTTCTTTTGGATCTTTGGTAAAAATCTTTAAAAGTCGCTGAGCCTGCAAAACCTTGCAACCCCCAATATGATGACAATTAACATCTGAAATTTTTCTAATTTTTCAAGTCAGAAACCATGTATCTGTTCAACACATCCAGTGTTTAATAGCATTAGCCACTGGAAGGATATATGGACTCAGACCATTTTACATTTTTAAGCTTAATTATTAGCAACTGCAGTCATGAATTTTTTCCAGTTACTTTTATCAATTTACCTTTGAATGTCACTGAAGAAGGCTATCAGGCCTGTTTTGTAAGACCTGTGAGATAATAAGGATATGTTTCATATTTATCAAATGGCTCGCGTGTCTTTTCCACTGTTTTGCTTGTGGTTGATTTTAAACAGTCAAGAACTGTACAGGTCATTCTGCTTGATCTTTTGACAATGGGTGGAGCACAAGCGCTCTTTATTTCTCAATAAAGATTTATTAAACCCCAAGCTTAGCTACTTCGTTTGCCAGCCCTGCCAAGATCCCAGGGTCCAATTAGCTAGACTCTTCATTACAAACCACCCAAGAGTGCTTGGAAGAGAAGACTCCCCACAGACCCTACAAACAAGAGGTGATGCAAGCACACCTTGCTTCATCCAGATGCGGCAGAGATCTTCAGTATTATCGATTGCCATGTCGTTACTGCACCAGCATCTAAGACCCACCTGCACCTCAGTCAGACTCCCCTCAACACTTTTTACTTCCCTTTGGCGTTTTTCAAGCTCCCCTCACCTGCCCCACGCCCAGCAGTTGCATCCGACAGAGGTGCAGCCCCAGGCCGCTGGCTCCCCCTCAGCCGCCCTAACACGGGGCTCCCCTCGCGGCCGCCCGCTAGTAGGGACAGGGACCACGGTCCCTCGACGCCTCAAGGGGTAGAGCGGGCGAGACCACCCTCCCACCATGCCCTGAGAACAGCCGGAGGGAGGGTGGGCGGGTGGGTAGGCGCGCACACACAGCATTCACACTACCCCGCTACTCCTCCACCAACCCGACGCGGAAACATGGGCCCAACCGCTCCGCTGTAGCCGGCGCGCAGCGCGCATGCGCGGAGCACCCAGGAGGGCGGGGGCCGGCGTCTAGTGGCGAGTGAGCTGGCTGCCGGTGCTCGCCTGCCTCCTTCCCTCCCTGCTGCCGTTACTCGGGGACTAGCGGTCGCTCTGTAGCGTCCGCTCCCTCTCCCGTCTTGGGCCGCGCCTCGCCTAGTCCTGCCCCGCCATGAAGTTGAGCAGCCGCGGCCGGGGATGCTGCGTGGCCGGCAGCCGGGAGCGCGGGCCGCCGCCGCGGAGCCCCTTCGTGCACCAGCTGCGCCTCAGCCCCCTGGATAAAGCCAAGGTAGGGGCGCGCAGGGCCTGCCCTCCCTCAGCCTCCTTCCCGCCGCCTTCCGCGCGTCCCCCGCAGCGGGCGGGGGCACTCATCCTGCCCCCGGCGCTTTGTGAGACCGGGGCAAACCGGGGCATGTGTGCGTGCGTGCTTGCCCGCAAGCCGGGCTTGTGAGGGCTGCGGCGGGCGGGCGGGCGGGAGCAGCGTGGTGCGGTGGCCGGGTCGGGCGGGGGCTGGTGGTGACCGTGGGGCGCAGGGGCTCCCGGGGCCGGCGCCCGCCGCTGGCAAGGCGTGCTCTGAACTTGTGCACCGCCGCCTGCTTTAAACGATTAAAAATAAACTACATATTTTTTTAATTGGTTTTGTGTTTTGTTTTGTTGGTTTTCTGGGTTTTGTTGCTGCTGGTTTTGGGTTTTTTGGTTGTTTTTGTTTGTTGGGGTGGGGGTTGTTTTTACTTTAATGGGGGTAGGGAAACAGTGCTCTGAAGGCCCTCTTTTCCCAGCGTCAAGTTAAGGTATGCTTGGGCCATGGCATCCTGTGCATCTGAAGTTTGGCCCTGGGTAAATGATCCCTGTGGCATAATTCACCCACTATACAGGCAGCTGTAAGATGACGAGAATTGGTATTAAAATGTAAATTTGCAGTTGTGTGGCTTCTTGTTTGTTAGTTGGTCTCTGCCTCAGTTGCCTCGTGTGATGAGCTGTAGGTGGCTGGATATTCAGAGTGCATGGTCCTTGTCTTAGGCTAAGATCTGGGTCACTTGCTGGATGAAGAAGTGCCATCAAAGGCTCACCTAATAAGGGTTGGCCATTTCTATTACTTTCATCACTGTAATGCTTCAGTTCCTTAAAGCTGTTGTTTTGGGGGCCTAACAGCCTACATGGAAATTAAGATCCACTAATACTGAACCTCTCCAATCAAAGGGCTTTAGATCCAACTTCAATTTAATCTACGTTCTGAGTGAAGTTGATTGTTGCATTGTCCTGTTGCTGTCCAGAGACTTAACACAAGACATGTCTGGCCTGACATACAAAGCATTGGAATGCGCCTCATGTTAAGCATCTGGCAGCCAAGGAATTCATAGTAGACTCCAGTGAAAAGGCTTTTACTTTTCTAAATCAGGTTTCCTGGTATGTGGTTATGTTTACTGATAAATTGTTGTTTGAATGGGAGAAGGGAGAAAAGGTTTGTGCCATTTGCCTTGTTCAGTTTATACCTAGAGCTTCCTCAATAAATCACATAGTTGTAATGGTTTCTTTTCAGTGTAACCTTACTTTGTTCCTTAAGTCATGCTTCTAAGTAATTAATGAGGCAGAAGTCTTACAGGGACCAGAGAGAAGCAAAGATTCCATGCATTCATATGGACTGGGATTGTATCTAATTGTAACAATAACAGTGTTTTATTTTGCGGTGTTAATGTATCTTTTAATGTAGCTTTCTACTTGCTTGTTTATAAGCAATCTTAAATATGCTGTTGAGAGGGCACAGTGCTGATTTCACAGTTTTTGCAGTGTTGAATCTCATAGGAGCTACTAGCATTGCTCATCTGTTTAGTCCTAACAGACCCTTTAGCTGCTTCACCAGCAGAGTGACTTCTGCCTTCTGTGTGGGCTGCCCTGCATGTCTATATGAGACATAAGCTTTGCCACTGTATTTCAAGAATGTTATTTTCAATAAAAAACTGTAAGATGTGTCTAAAGCTCTGTAGTGGGTTTTTTTTACAGCACAGGGACTAAAGGAATAGCCCCACAAAAGAGTGTGGCTTGGTTTTGTTTTTTAGATGTGCTTATTGATGTGCAGCGGCACGGAGTTCTTCAACCCAGCCTCTCTTCCAGTCATATTTTTGCAGTTTCCTTTGAGGAAAAAGCACACAAGCTGACGTACAGAACTGTGATAGATTTTCTTCTGCTCCTTATCATGCTCTCCTAACCTCTTCACTGATTAAAAGTTGTGCTTGACATAGAGGCTGTTGAAGAGCTGTGGAACGCTTCCACTTCTGAGAAATGCTGCTCTCCCAGAAAGGGAGACTTCTTGAATGGGGAGGCTGCTTTACAGTGAATCACAGCAGTGTGCGTTCTCTTCCATGCAGTCTTGGCCTTTTACTGAGGGTTTGGTATGAAGTATTACAGCTGAACTCACTTCCTGTTCAGCTGTAGGCACATACTGTATCACAGGTTTTTCTGTATCCCCTGTGAATCTAACGAGTGAGTTCTGGGATTGCAAAGCTTATTGCAGAAGGTTAGAAATGTGGGGACTGGAGGTATGTGAAGAGGTTGATGAGCACAGGGGAGTGGGAAACAAGGCTGCTTTGTCTGTCAGATAGTCCCATTATTTTCACTACCTCCTCATCTTTCCCACATCCTGCACTCTGCAATAGGGTGGGTTTTTTACTCATTAATACGATTCACAGTAAATGCATTTTAGTGCATTTTAGCCCAAGACTCTGGGAGTGTGGGAAAGAAAATAAATATGTAGAGGACAAAACAACTGCAACGAAGAATAACAACAAAAATCCATTTGAGTGCTAAGGAATTGTTCACATCATCTTCTGTTGACTTTATAAAAGCGGGAAGATAACAGGAGTGTAAAAGCAATAAGGCTCTTTGAGACCTGAGCCTCATGCTTCCTATAGATATAATGGCTATTTTACTCTGATCAGAGGGAGACAGTGGGGATCATTCTTGCAGCTACCTGTTTTATTTCAGTACTATAATAAAAATACCCTTTCTGAAAGAGACAGACATGATTTCATTAGCCATGAATTTGGTTCATTATCATCTTCTGGACACTTAACACGTAAGTCAAAGCTCTTGATTCTAGTTATCTCTACAGAACAGGCAGAAGCATTACTGTAGTTATCACAAAGTGTTTGTAGGTTTGTTTCCGTGCCACTTGAAAATACAATACAACACCATTTTCCATTCTTCTATAGTTTATGGCCCTTTTATTGCACCAGTGCTGGTGTTCCTTTGGTGCCTTGGTGAGCTGATTTGTCTCATTAAACCAGCATATTATTGTGGTTTTCTATATTCTGATTGTTTTCTTTTGCTGGGATTGCTTTTCTTCACTCTAATGAGCTGTATTGTCTCCTTGCAAGTTCAGATAGTGCTTGAGCTGACTCAAGGGGAGGATTGGCGAACAGTGAACAGGACCATGCTCTTCAGCAGCAATGATCTGTTAGATTGGCTTAGTTGCACATGAAGCTTTCTACTCTGGTATTTATCTCCATGATTATGTCAATTGGGGAACTTGCAGAGTGGGAAAGTGGGTAATAAGAGAACTGTTGAGGGACGAATTCCTAGCTCCTTCAGTGCCATCTTTGGTGAATTGAGGCTGTAAGAATGATAATAGTGAGGAAGTAAAAGTGTAGGGCAAGATGTAGTCTCTGTCTGACATATTTAAAAGAAAAATCAAAACCTTTATCATGCTACATGTGCAGTTCATTATTCTGTTTGTTCAATATGTAACCATTAATTTGTAGTTAGTAATGGAAAATTTGTTGTGAATAAGCTGATTTTAATAATGTTTCTCATTGTATTACTAATTTCAAAGATTGTGTCTTTAAGTTTATTTGTGCATAAGAGGTATGGTACTGACTTTCAAGCCAGGAAATAGAGACATAAAGAGGAGACAAGGGTGCTCTGTGATTCTCTTGCTTAGTGTTTAGATATGTGTGGCCTGATATGCTGGAGAACTTAAAAAGGATTTAAGTTCATATTTTATACTTCAATTGTAAGTTCAAACTCAAATCTGAATGCAGAGTCTCTAAATGGGGAGAACATACAATACCTATTTAGTTTAAATTACTTGCCTTACATCAGATTGAAGCCTTTCTGACAGAAGAGTGTAGTACAATTTCCCAGGGCAGCCTTCTGTTACAAGCTGTAAGACCATCCTCTCCCTTCCTGCTGTCTTCCTTGAGTCTTTCACAGCATATGCTGCCACTTCTGAAAACTTAAGTAGAATCCTGTAGACCAGCAAATGTTAAATGACCTCTTGAGAAAACTGGTCATGAGCTGAACCTCATAGGTTAGAGCTCTAGATAGATGAACATTTTAGGGGTTGTTTTAATGTATTCAAAACATGGGTGTTTATATACAAGTTATTACCAGATAGAATTTCTAATTTTAACAGAAAACATGTTTGGGTGAATGTCCTAAATATGTAGAGATATAATCACAGAAATGCCTTGACAAGGTCAGACCAAGAGTGTGTATCTCCTGCATTCAGTACAGTGGTCGGCAGGGACAGGATCTTGTTTTTTCTGTCTGACACTTTATGTAGGTGTTACAGCTTTCTTACCCTGGAAGGTGTCTGAATGTAGATGTAAACTGAACTGCATTCAAATGTTAGTGTCTTTGTTGATTCCTAGCCTTTTAAAGGGGCCAGACATACTTGTCTCCTAAATTTCTTGTGCAGATAGGTCCTTCATGACTGCCTGCTAAAAAGGAGGCTGGTGTCACAGCCAGATATTACACCTGTTTTGCTGGAACTGCTTCTTGATGTCCATTGCTACAACTGCTGTCTCTGGACACAGAAGACCAAGAGGCCTTTTCTGCACATTCATGCCATCTTTTCTGATCTTGTGCATGCAACTGCTGCTCCAGTTCTGTGATGTGTCTCCAGCATGATCTTGATAATAAGGAATTGCTACAAAGATGCAAAGGACCAGTCGCTTGCCATTCAGCTCTGCCCTGGTATAGGAGGATACTTGGAGAAGTGGAAGGGAGAGGGTGTGAATTGCAGAGGACTGTGTCTTCACCTGCATTTTGTTTCCCTTTTTTCTTGACAGCTGGTCTTTCTAATTTTACAAACTTAGAAGGCAGCTACTCTCTTCTCCAGTTTGCAGAGGAATGCTTCCCTGTTTCCTGTAAGTCATGGTGGTCTTGGCTGGATGCAGGTTGCACAAGTTGTTATGACTTCAGTGCTCATCTGACCACTGCACTTCAGGAAGTTGTACTGGTTAATCTGAGAAATTAGTCTAAGAAAGAAATTCCTTCTTTCAATTCTGCAAAATGGAGCAAACCATCAAGGGACTGCTTTCAGGGAATGAGACCATGTTTGTTATAAGATGATGGTACCAAGTGGAACCATCACTGTACAATCTAACATTGCAATGGGCTGGTAGCTTAGGCTTTTCTCCTGCTGTGTGTTCGCTGCCTCTACCCTAGGTCTACAGAGATGTGCAGCTACAGGTTGAATCAGTTATTGAGCTGTTTTGAGAAGTGAGAGGAAGCAGGAACTGATCAATAGGAAACTGAGCTGCATGAGGACTAGATCTGCATTAGGGAAAGAAGAATATGAATAATGCGTTCCACAGCAGCCTGGAGATGCATCAGATCAAACACAACATGAGACAGCACCTTATGCCTCATTACTCATCCTTGCCCAGCCATTGTGGTGTTCAGAAGAGCTTTTCTTCCTCATCTGGTACAACTGTGAATATGCAATATATTTCCTTTTGAGTTTATTCTTTATATGGTCCTTATTTTTCATAGTATCATCTTCGTCTTATGCTAGCCTCTGTTGTACAGCTTGAGGAACATTGGTGCTACCTCAGTCAGCTTCAGTTTTCGGTTCTTTCTCCCTTAGCCAGTCATCCAGAGCTGTACCCTCCTCCACTTTAAGAGATTATTTTTTTTCTTTCTTCCTGCCCCTTGAGTGAGAAACAGGGACTCTTGGCTCCTGCAGCTGTTTCCTGGGTTAGGTGGATCATTGCACACATAGTAGCTAAGTTATGTTTTCCGGAGGACAGTTGGGAGCAACTCCAGACAGATCAGGAAAGGCCCTGCTTCTGGAACAATCCTTCAGGAGACTGTGGGAGAAGTTCCAACATGACATTTTTTTCACTAGAGTTGAAGGCAGAGGGCTGACCGGCTGGGAAAGGGCTCTGAGAGAGCACTGGGAGGAGGTGCAGAAGCAACTATGTTCACTATGGCTTCCCAGAGGAGGATAACTTCTTGAAGACCTCTGCTTTCCAGGGGGTTGTGCCTGTTAGAACAGACCTGTATCTGAAACTCATATGTGTCTGGATGTTTGTTCAGAGGTCTCTGCACCGTGCTCCCCACTGTAGTTCTCCACAGCTTCTGGTTCCAGGAACCTACTGCAGGGGAACAGGTGCCTGCTCAGTCCTGCAAGAGTTTTCCAGGTTGGTTCCTGAATTGCTGTGTCAGTGCGCTCTTCTGAAGTAATGCATGTCACTGACTGGGAGCTGCTGTGGTCGATCAACTTCTCTGTAGTGCAGTAAGATTTATAACACACCCATGCTAAATATTTACTAAGTGTGAGGCTGCAGAAAAGGAAGAGCATGCAGATATACTCACTGACAAACAAAGGGTCTGAAGAAGCGTGGAAACCTGTGACCTCATTAGCTTTAAAGAGTGTGCTGTGTTTCAGCTGTAATTAAGGTTGGCGAATATATAATTGTTACACATACACTACAATTATTTGTTTGAAATTGAAGCATATTCTGCTGATTTTAACATTTTTAAGTTAAGACTTCAGATCATTTTCCAGGAGTCGCTGTTGAGATTCAGTCTAAGATCATGTTATAATAATGCTGCTTTTTTTTTTTTTATTATTATATTTTTATTTTGCAGATTGCCTTCATGACCCTGACTCTGTTTCCTATCCGACTCTTTTTTGCTGCTTTTATGATGTTGCTGGCCTGGCCTTTTGCATTCATTGCTTCAATGGGACCTGATGAGCAAGTGCTTGAAAAGCCCCTCTCCTGGTGGCGAAAGTGAGTCACTGATACGGTGAAATACTGAGAGACTCATTATTTAGTTTGGTGGTTTGAAAAAGAGAACATTGGAAATACCTGACATCTGTCCTACAGACCTGCTTTTCTCTTCGGAAGAAAAATATAAGAATTACTATTTAAACACTCCTTGGATGGGAAGCTAAAAATACCTCAACTCTTTGATATACCAGGAGATACAAGAATTACAGGGAGAAAAACTGATCATTACTGGCCTCTATTGAGGACGTAGTGCAAAGCATCATTGTGGCATCCTTCAATTTCAATTATTCCTGTAATGTCAACTTCCTGTTATGAAGAGTGACACTACGGAATGTGCACAGATTTCATATTCTAAATTGTTGTTTTAAACTGCTCCACCCCATTTACTGCTGCCCTGTGACAAGTTGACAGAACTTCTGTTGATTCCGAGGGCTTGCCCCATGCTTTGGTGCTTATTAATGAGTCTGTGCTCATTTTGATATTGGAAAGCTAATTAAGGTAGAATGTAAGATAGTGTTCACCCATCCATGAAAACTGCCATTTGAGGAGTGAGAAAGGTGTGTATCACCTCTCTTCTGTAGAGAACTTTAAAATTAGGAGCTGGCATTACCATCAGGGAAGCTGATTCTGTTTTGCAACACAGGAGGGAAGGAGTTTGAGAACCACAGAGACATGTCACTTTGCATTTCATTTGGAATCCTATCAGTATAATAACTAAAGGAATAATAGACTGCAATCAGCCTTCCATAGAGTTATTTTGAAGCTTTTTAGATTGTCCCTCCCCCATTTAATCCAATTTCTGTGTCACCCTGCTCTCCAGCCTCCAGTCCCTGTGGGTACAACAATTTGTAGTGTTTGGTTTTGGCAATCTGTGGGCTCAAAGTAAATTCTTCTCTTTTCATGACTATCAATTAAAAAGAAAGAAGCAAACAAAACCCCATCTAAAAATAAACAAACCAACCCACCACAAAACAAACAAAAAAAGAACACTTGAGGAGATGGGGAAAAGGGAAGAAGGTAAAGTATTTCCAAAGCTCCAAGGTATATTCTGTAAGCATCCCTCTGTTTGGGAATCTGCTCTACATTTCTGCACTGTTTTGTTTGGGTGAAGTTGAACTCAGGAATCAGGGTTGTTGCATTCTAGCAATATCCTAATAGCATTTTTCAGGACTGAGTTTATTAAATCTCTTTTTTAGTGTTACTAGAAAGCATTATTAAACATGGTATAGAAGAAACTCAGCAGTCATAGTCTGAATCAAAATTAGTGATAAATGCCAATCTTACTGTGATTAAAACACATTAATATTCAGGCATGAATTGAAATTAAATGGCTTCTTACCTTAAAAGTGGTCTTAAACTTGCGAGAAAGAGGAAACAAGTCTGTATAGTGTTCCTGCTCTGTTTGAGCAGCATATCCTATCTGCACTTATTTCATGCTTATGAAGTTTTTATGTAATGTTTTTCTTTTTCTTTGTTAAGGTATTCTTGTGGCAGCATAACTCTTTTTTTCAACTCTTTACAGGGTAGTGGATATTTTGCTGAAAGCAATCATGAGAATGATGTGGCTTGCTGGTGGATTCCACTGGATAAGTGTAAAAGGCAGACGGGCATTGCCAGGAGAAGCAGCAATATTAACTGTGGCTCCCCATTCTTCCTACTTTGATGCGATTCCAGTAACTATGACCTTCGCCTCCATTGTGATGAAAGCAGAAAGTAAAGATATTCCTGTTTGGGGAAGTAAGTTCGTAGATAATTAATTGTTCTTGAAAAATTAAAAATGATTACTTAGGAGGTTCGCTGCTTATGTATGGGAAAGGAACATTTACTTTTTTTTTCAGGCCATAATATGTGGTGACTTTTTTACTGGTTTACTTTGACTGTCAGTGGAAAGAATTGGGAGGGATGTGTTTTGGGGTGTTTTTTTTTTTTTTTCCCTTTCTCCAAAGTTGAATCATTGTACAAAGTGAAAACAATCCTGCAGAAGTCATGGTTACATTCGCGGTGAAAGTGTAATGTTTTAAGGCCTGACAAATAGAAAAGCAAGTGAGGAGGGGGCTATGGAAGCAAAGGGTGAGGCTAGAAAGGAAGTGTGTCAAGACTTCTTTCTTGGTGCAAGTCAGGGCGCCATCCCAGAAATGTGTTTTAGGAATGTTGTCTGCTCTCCATGGTGCCTTGTCTTGAGGGAGGGCTGCTAATCCTTTGGGCATCAATAAGATTGCTTTCGGCATGATGTGAGAGATGAGCAGGAGCGAATTATTGCACACTCAGATTTAGGCACAAGAAATGCAGATGCCCAGGTCAGTACTGCTTGAATACTATCTTTGGAATTGTCGGTGTAGATTGTTGCAAAGGCTTGAGAGAGGCCTGTGATTTTTGGTACAGTTGTGCCAAAAATGTGTAAGCTTTTAGGCTTGTAGGCTTCTAATCAAAGCCTGTGTGGAAACATTTTGGAGAAATCCACCGTGTGGCAGAATAGCATTTGATATAATGCTGTAATAGCTGCTTAACTATCCCATGTAATAGATTCGGTGGGGACTAGTAGGAAAATCTGAGGAGGATCTGTAGGGACATGCAGGTTGTAGTTACACTGAATGTAGCACAAATGATACGTATTGAGTAGTTCAAACTATTTCCTATATACCTAATTCAATTGAGTCCTTTAAAACTTAACTTAGAAGTCTAGACTTAAAATAAATTTAAAAAAATTAACTTAATTTTGTCCATGTCTGAGTAAAATCAGTTACAGAAAAACAGAAAACCCAGAAAACTGCACACAGTGATTCAATGGAATATTACGAGAATATAGAGTACATCCAAGTAAATGAGCGTTTTGTCCTGTATAGTGGCATTCACTTTATGTCAGGCAGCCACAAAAATTATGTAGTCCCTTATGAGGTGTTTAGAAAAATGCCACGAAGGTGAGGATATGACAAACATTATGGCTGCAACTTGGAGTTCAAAAACATTAGGGTTTTTTTTGGTTTAGAGGAGTGCTTTTTTTATGAGCAACATTGGTTACAGTAGTTTGTGCTATTAAAATAAATAGACCTTAACAGAAAGGTGAGTAATGACTGTAGTGACTACTTGGGCTTAAAATTTAGTGAAAGCTGTCCATGGAGTCAAGTTCAGATATTTTCCTTTACTGCTTAAAAGAGGTTTTCTGTGAAGCAGTTGGTACTGACCATCCTCTCCTCCTTTGATCTGGTATTTTAATTCCAGTGTACTTATTTACACTTCTCTACGCGTGCGCGCGCACACACACACACACACACAAAATGTATTTCATGCAACTGGACCAGTGGTATTTCTCTTCATGCTATCTGTGAAAAGGTTTCATGTTTTTCTTGGGGTAGACATTCATCTAGAACTTTCCCCACAGTGGTCAGAATTGTTTATGTTCTTCAGTTTTTTAAATCTTGCAAACTTGTTATATCATCTCCAGTGGAGTCTTGGAGCCAGCCACTGGTAATTCTAACCTTGTGATTTCTTGATTGAGTCTCGTTAATGGTGATTCAGAATCTTCTGGGGAGTTTCGGATAAAATACATTCATTTAACTTTGAGCAGAATTCAGCATATAAAAAATATATCAGCAGAAGATATCCAAAGATAATTTCCAAGAATGAGGACTTTAAGTGGAGAGTAAATCTTCATCCACCGTATCCAAACATGATGTAGACAAGTTGCCTTTTTGATGTAATGGCAATGTTTATTAAGACACTGTACATTGTGTGCCAGAGGGATCAGGTGCTATAACAGGCACAAAAAGATCTGATTGTGAGTTGGTTACCAAGATTGGTTTCAAAAGTATCTTAATAGGTTTTTGGAGCAGCTGCCTGTGTTATTATTATTGTACCCTTAGTTTGCCAGTCATGGAATATTAAGCTTTTGATCTGCTTTTAAGTCCAGTTGATTGAAAGCCTGTTTTTCATGGAAATATTCCACAAGTGTGTTTGAGTATTCTTGTGACTTAAAGGCAGCTCTCCTGGACCACAGAGGCCAATTTTGGAAGCAGCCTTAAGTCTTGTGACTTTTTCAGACAACTTCATTCATGGGGGGGACGGACGACGGACGACCATATTAAAAAATGCTCTTTTGATCTGAAGGAGGAGTTATGACTTCTGCATTTAGTGGTCAATAGTAAAGAAAATGAAGTAGAGAATGCAGGAACGGACAGAACACATCACCACAATGTTGAAGGACATGTATGTATTCTACGCAATTACTTTCCAGAATTTTGGTAGGTTGGAGATGTGAAGTTCACTGCACCACTTTAATGTAAAGTGTGCAGCCCAATGAAGATGACATTCAGGAATCCGTTGCACTTTATATTGGCGGAACAAGTTAGATCAGTTCTTTCATCAGCACAGATCCTTAAACTTTCCTGTTTTGTCTTCTGGACCCCATGTCAAGCCAGGACAAACTATTTGTGTAATTTCTGGATAGTTACACTTCACTGTCTTTTTTTTTGGCTGGTAAAGCAACCTGGGTAAAAGTTAGTTTCGTTGCTCAAGTGGTTGGTGCTACTGCAGAAATACTTCAATAAGAAGGAAAAAGGATTTGTCTGACAACATCCCCATAAAATAAAATTTATTGCCAACTTTTGTGATTCAGACCACATCTTCAGTGGTCTGAATTTTTAAAAACTAGATCTAAGGTGATGTGCTTGAAGTTTAAATCAGCTTCTTCTTGACATCTGGAACTTCGCCCTCTGAAAAAAGAAAGGAACCTTGGTACCTGTGAAATGAATGGGGGGATATGTTAGCTTAAGTATATAAATGGCAAAGAGGTCATTTGTACTTGGCAGAATACAGAAGCGCTACAGAGGAAATGGGGAGAATCGTACTGTGATGTAAAAACTATCAATTCTTTTGTGGGTGTTTTTTTCCCCCACATCTCCCACATTTTTTTCTTCGAGCTCACCTTCTGAAAGTGTTTTGTAGGCATTTCTAGAGAATCATGAGTAAAAGACAAGAAATAAGTAACTCAGAATTATTTATGCTGCGGTAGCTGGGTATGTTTTCATTTTGGAACTTAAAATATGCCAAATTCTTTACTCATCAATTCTGTATGCAAACTGATCCTCCAGCCATCCACACCATTCATACTGGCTTTATAGGTGGCCATCTCAGTGTATCAGAGGAATGTAGGTGATGGGGTTTTGTGTTTTCGGGATGGGCCAAGAGGAAGCTTCATGTTCAGCTGTCACTCTGATTCTACAATGGTGAAAATGTAACTGCCCATTACTCAAAAATGTGTGTATGGATACGATTTAGTACTGTATTCAGTGCCGTGTTACCATTCTGTTGCTTTGTGTTCTCTGGTACCTTACCGGTGGTGGTGGTGCCAGTGTAGCTTTACTCTGTATGACTGTAACTGTCAAGCATAATTTATATGGTTTGTTGCAATACTTTCTTATATAAATAGCACTTCATGTCTTGATTTGAAATGAGGTTTCCTCACCCACATTTTCCTGGAAATAGACAGGTGAAATACCTCCTCCCCCTTATCCTCCCAAGCCCATTATTCTGAGAAGTCCATTGACAGCAATTGTATGTGTTCAGCTCATCAGAAAGGAACACTTTTTGCTTATGCATCAGCTGGTGCTTCAAATGATTGCATGTGATTTACTGTTCTGAAATCAGTTGGAGCTGCCACCCTGCAATTAATTAAAGCAATACTGATTTTTTGCAGGCTCCTTTAAACCGTGCTGTTTCATGCTAGAGCAACTTTCTGTTGGTTAGTGTATCTGTGGCATTCTGGCTGCCCTACAGGGCAGAGGTTTTGATGAACTACTGGTGCTGCTGTTTAAATTGCGGGCACCTGCCTAAGAAGGTGAAGTACAGCGTGTCACCTGTCTTCAGGGGCACTTGTAATGAGCTGAAATGGGATGAGAGTGACTACATCAAGTAGGACTGACAGTGCTAGAGAAAAAGCTGGAATAATGACACTGGCAAGGTCAATTTTGTGAATTGAGGGGTCTTCTGCCCACTAGAATTTATACTTTAAGGATGGTCACTTGCATTGACAAGCAGAGAAAGTTAAGATTATGTTCTATTTATTAAGCATATTGCACAGTTTTGCTTGTTTCCTTTAGCAGCTCAGTACGCCAGCTGTCTGAAGCATTTTCATGCATGCTGCTTTTTGCTCCTGGTCTGACTTTGCTCTAGTCCAGCTTATTCCTTGCCTTACATACTACTTTACAGTACTGTCTCTAGGGCTCCCTATGTTATGACTCGATTTCTGACTGCAACCTCAGCTTGTCCACCTATTTGGTGTGTTTCTCAGTTTGTCTTCACAAACTCTTGGCCCTGCTTCTGACTATTTCTTGCACAGATCAACTTGGTACAGCCTTTGAATTTTCAGATTACTGTCTTATTTACTGAACATGAAAATACATGGGGAGAGTAAGGATCTGTGTAGCCTTATGCTCTGTTTTAAGACCTGGTTATGAAAAGAGTGTATGAGGAAAGTCCAGTACAGAGCTAGCCTTTCCTTGGTGTGTACTTTTTCAGCTTTTTACTAATGACATGGGAGTTTCAATTTTACTTGAATTATTGGGCTTCACCACTAAAGGTCTGGTAGTTGGTGTCTTGTAGGATCTTAAGTTGCTGTTTAATGCTGAGATTTCTATCAGCTTTTTAGTCCAATCCTGAAGGAAGTAAGCTTAGTTTAATAGATAGGGTGCTTATATAAAATTTTGATGTGCTGGGCTGAAATAGTGATGGCTTCATACATATTTGAAAGAAAGCTGATGGTTTAAAAGGTGTAAGTTCTACAGGCTGTGTGAAAATTGTGTCTGAACCAGGAGAAAAGAAACAAACTTGCCTTGAAGCCTATTTTGTATCATATAACTCAGGCAAAACAAATCCATAGGAAACCAAGCTTTCAGTTGTCTCTTCTGTTTAAACATACTGTAATAGTTTTTCTTTGCACGTGGGTGTGTTGCTGTTTGTGGTGGTGTCCATTTGTAAGAGAACATGCTGTGTGATTGGTTTTTTTGGGGCTTGGTAACACTGCAGTAGCTTGCTTTTTGGGAAGGTTGTAAGAGTAAAGCTCCCAGGTTAACAATGCTTGCCTGCCTGGTTTTCAGGTACAGATTACATTAGTGGTTAGAGACTCCAAATTGGTGAGTTGTCTATAGGCTCATGTTTTGGTCATACTGCCCTATGTAAAATCTATCTGCTTGCTTAATTTCATGTATTATAAAGAAGACTGCTTGCAGCATATACTCAGATAAAGGCTTCAGAGCTCTGGAATTAACTTGTGCAGTCCTTGGCCTGAAGTAACTGGAATTCCATCAGTTGGGCCTAATGTAAAAGAAACTTCAGGGTGAAGGCTGAGGATGTTTGAATCTTTTTTTGCTTTCTTTTACTTGGTAATGCTGGTTTTGCTACAGAATAGTAACTTGCAGTGGTAGGGGAAACTCGGGACTGGCATCACTAAAAAATCAAACAGTTACGGTTATTAGGAAAGAAATTCTTCACTGAAAGGGTGGTCAGGCATTGGAAGAGGCTTCCCAGGAAAGTGGTGGAATCAACGTCCCTGGAAGTGGACAAAACGTGCAGGTGAGGCCCTCAGTGATGTGATTTAGTGGTGCACATGGCAGTCCTGGGGTAAAGGTTGGACTTGAACGTCTTTAAGGTCTTTTCCAACCTGGCTGATTCTGTGGTTCTATGTAACCAAGTATAATTTCTTTCACATATTTTATCCCTTGTCCTGTTTTTGGTTTGGTTTGGTTTGGTTTTTTTTTCTAGTTTTTATATATGGTGGTTTTGGTTTTTTTTTGTTTGCTTTACCTTCCCACAGCAGAAACCCCAGCTGACCCGTGATGATCATTGCTCCCCTAGTGAGCATTGTTCTGTGGATATCATATAAGAACGGGCATATAGGGAAAAGTGCAAGAATATGATAGTTTTTCTCTGATACACTATCTCCTAAGCTTCAGCAGCTTGTGGGATAAAAGCAGTATTTCAGAAGTTGTCTGAATGTTCGGAACTTACTGTAAAGTGTGACAGGTAAGTTTCACAGAACCATAGTAGGATTTTGATGAGTTGCTGGCTGAACTGCCAGTGAAGTAACACTAGAACCAGCAGCTTTTGCTGAGAACAGGACTCTTAATTTCTTACACTTGTTATTCTTCACACTTTAAGCACTGCTGATCCATTAATGCAACAAGTCTATCCTTGACTAAAAGAAGATTATGCAGCTGGTGTCACTGAGCTCATCCCATGGTGGCTGGAAAAAGAAAAGCTGTATTTTACTATTTAGTTTTTTTTAGGCAAATAGAATAGTTAATTATTTCGTGACTCTTGAACCTTTGAATGTATTTACAAGACACAAAAATGATTAAAGGTATTTGAAGACAACCTGCTTAAATAAAAACATGAAGTAGTATACTTGAAGATGCTTCCCTTGTAGTGCTTTTTGACACTGTGAAAGAGTTGTATGTGGTATTTATTTTCTAAGTGGGCCTTGGTGTCCTTGTGACATTTGCATGGAGAGCATATTGTAGATTGATTTCTGATTCTTGTTCATGCTCGTTTTGTGTCTGGCTGTATATAAGAAGTTTCCCACCAAGCCAAGAAGAGTATGCCAGATATTTTGTATGAGGAACAGGCATGCAGGTGATGGCTTAGGAAGTAAGTATGGTTTTTCTTTAGATGACGCTGATTTCAAAAAGATAACTTAAACTGTGTCTGGAGTATCTTTGATCTATCTTCAGTGAATTTGAGCTGTCATAGAAAACAAAAGCTCTAAAGACAGCAGGAGTTTGATTCAGAGACTGTGTTTTGGAAGCACTTGCATAGAGACATACTTTGCTGGGTTGGCAGTGTCTACAGAGTTTTGTGACTTTTGTGGTAGGAGGAAATGGCCTATAGTCAGGCACAGCTGGTTTGTTGCAAAAACCTATGCATAATATGTACATTCATATTTTAAGTTATCTGTGATGTATGTGTATTGGTCTATTAAAACTTGGACAAGTAGAAATTGCCAAAATTATGAAAAACAGTTTTCCTTACAGGAATTTATGAAAATGTCTCAATAAAACTGCAGTAATTCAGCTGAGTATTTCAGTTTGCAGTGTAATATAGTAAAGTGGTTATGTACTTGTACCAAAAGTTTTGTTCAGAGGACTGCTGGGAGGGGAGGAAATATTTTTCAAACAAAGGGGAAATAAAGGCTGGTTTTGTTTTCCTTCCTCTTCAGCTCTAATCAGATACATCCGACCAGTGTTTGTATCTCGCTCAGACCAGGATTCTCGCAGGAAAACCGTTGAAGAAATAAAGAGGCGTGCTCAGTCTGGTGGTAAATGGCCACAGGTACTGTATACTGCTACTGTGTGATGGATGGAATTTGGTATTTTCAGGCTTTGGATATGCAGTTTACTTTTTAACTTGTGGGAGGCTTTAGATGGTTTGTGAGGGATAGGATTTCCACACCCCACCCCATCCTTTCTAGAAGATGGAAGATTCTTATCTATACAAAACACTGCCTTCTCACTGCAGTATGTTTCAAGGGGAGACTGGCTGGTAAGTACACGGGCAAACAGCTCTATTAAGTCATTCTAAACCTGCTGTCATATGGTAAGTTCTCTAAGAAGAAAATAGCCAGGTGCTCAGCAGAATACCTGGGGGAGTATTGTGTGTTCTTAACCATTCTCAGGATTTTGGCATACTGTCATTTTTGGAGATGTGATACTGGCCAAGACAGCACAAGCAATTCAGATGTTCCAATAACTGGAACACACCTCTGTTAGCAATGCTTTCATCATGTGGTCCAAAATAAGTGGCTCAGAGCTATTTTTGACTTGAAACATTCTTTCTGTGAATTTTTGAGATAAAGATACAGGATGACTGTCATAGCAACTGTCATACTGGACTACAGAAATACTGTAAACAGTATTAAAAGTTATAAACAGTGTGACAGAAAGGCAAAATGTAGCTTTCACATCATGACTTTCAATAGATTTCAAAGCAGATAATCTTTCTTACAGATGAAGAAACTGTGTTGCAGAACTGAAGTGGTTTGCAGAATATCTATCAAGCTAGTACCAGAGTGGGCAATAAAACTAGTTTTGTTAATTCTAGTTCATTACTTTGTCCCCTTGTAATGTGTATTTTCTTTAAATGTCTTTTTCTTCACAAAATTTCAGCAGTTCTTGGCTTTTTGATATCCAAAACTTTTTTTTTTTTTTTTTTTTTTTACAGTCTACCCTCTGAATTCAGTTCAAATTGTTAGAATTCTGTTTAGGTATTTTCAGCCTTTGTCATTCTGACATCTGTGCACATAGCAAGTAGGAAAAGCAAAAAGAAAATAAGTCTTCCTTTTCTTACCATGTAAGCAGGTAGCCTGGGAGAAGGAATTTTGTTTTGGTGCAGAACAGAATATGCTATTTTGAACAGTACCAAAATCTTTTGTGAAAGTTCTCTTGGAATCACAAGTGTTTCTGTTCACTGTCAGTGTTCCAATTTAATAGAATTATTATCAGAGGTCAAGAAAGAGGCAAAATTCACAGATAAAGAAAAATGTTTCCCCTGTTAATAGATAATTTTGACTTGTTGAGCACTATTTTTTTTAACTCTGAACTGTTTTGCTATGAAACTTTTTTACTGTACTCAGTTAATGGTAGCTTTGAAAAGATGTGTTTATAAATAAATCCACACTGAAATAGTTCTTAAAAGTAATTTTTTCTTTTACTTCAAGATAATGATATTCCCAGAGGGCACTTGCACAAACCGGTCCTGTCTAATTACATTCAAGCCTGGTAGGTATGATACTCATTTCACTGTTCTCTACAGAATGTTCTTGTATCTTCATTTTCTGAAATAACACTTGCATTGTAATTTTCTTGCTGTTGCAGAAGTTGAGTTAAAAATCTTGCAGTAGGGTAGAATGGGAATAGAAATTTTATGATGCTAGGAAAAGATTGAGTTCCACTGTTGAGCAAACCAGATAATTCAGATATTTTTTTTTTTTTTCTTGGCTTCTGAGTTGCTCAGGGAGGTTGTGAATGCTCCATCCATGGCAGTGTTCAAGGCCAGGTTGATGAAGCCTTGGGTGAGATGGTTTAATGTGAGGTGTCCTTGCCCATGTCAGGGTTAGAACTAGATGATCTTAAGATCCTTTCCAACCCTAACTATTCTATATGAACTGGAGGAGTAATGTTTCTTGCTGGGATTTTGTTTGTGGTTGTCTTTCTTTCTCTTGCCCCCTCCATTTCCTATTTTGGGTCTATCATGCAGCATTAAAATACGCTATAAAGCTTAAGGTATCAGTGTGTATCTATTTCAGGCTGCTGCAGCATTTGTTGCCGTGTTGTGTGTGGTTGATTCCTCTCATTCTTCTGCTGAGCTACATTCTGGTGAAGAAGGCATAAGAATCTTGCCAGTATACCACTGTTACAGAGGCTTTCATTTCTTATAATATTTTTTAACTTAACATTCACATTCTAAGCTCTTTCCAGTTAGTCCTTTAGCTTATCATATTAGGAGAGGGTATAACTCTGAATGTTGGTGCAGGTGTAAACTGCAGTTGCAACTGGGAGACATGCCAATATGTAGAGAACCACCAATGTTTAATGTAAGCTTGGCTTTATGAAGTAGGTAGGGAGATGGTAAATAGGGAGACTGCAGGGAGCAAGGCAGTTGTGAATGTGTTTTTTTACTTTTCTGAGGTTTCTGCCTAGCTCATTGTGTTCTGGTCTTACTGTGTGTCTTGTATTTTGTGGTGTTTACAACTTACATATCACTATTAGAATATCATGTGATGAGTCAACGTTGTGATTCCTTGGACTGATTCATTTGGCTGAAGGAATCTCAGTGTTGTCTCCTGAACAAATATTCAAAAAGCTTTTCTTCCTCCCCACTTAGCTCTTGTCTGTTTTAGATGAACGTGTGATGGTTAGGAGAACATCCTCTTCTTTTGCTTTTTACTCTCCTTCTCTATTTCTCTCCACCTGAATCCTGACCATGCTTTGAAAAACAGCCTGAATCCTTCATTAAAGCTTGGATTTCACACCTTCCCTCTGTGCCATAGACATTCCGGGCACCATATACTTTATGCCTCAATCTCTGTTCTTCCTCTCTGCTCTTCCTTTTCCTTTGGTCTAGTACCTACTTTCTGCTGCTTGACTGTCTCACTTTTCCCATTGGAACCTGCTTCTCTATCCACCCAGCCTCTCAGAAATCCTTTGCCCCAAAATTTCTCACATCAAATTACTTCAGCTCTCTGTTCAAGTAAATTCCATCATGATGCCTTTCCCCATTCTCCTCATATGGCCTACACTCCTTGTTCTTAGTACAAAGTGTTTTGGTTTTGTATTTGTACAAGCTAGTCATACATGGCAAGCTAGTCAAGTTTTGTTTCAATGGTGGTGGTGTCATCTGCCATTCAAATTTTGTCATCTTCAGATTCTTTCAAAAGTTGCTTAGGCTGTTGTTTTTGGAGACTGACTAGAAAGTACCACTGGGCCAAGAACCAAATCTTTGCAGGATCTCATTCGAGCAACCTTAGTTTAAAGATGCTTGTACTACATTAACAATTGCTTCTTTTAGGTCTGGCCAATTATTCTGTAAAGCAAATGTAATGCTAAGAATACAGTGTAACTCCGTTGTTTCTTTTTTTAAATCAAAATATTAGGCATAACTTAGTAAATTGCTATGAATTATATAGTTTTGAGTGCAGCTGTCTTTAATTGTTTTCATGAGGAAAAGGGTAATCTTGAGCAAAAGACCTAGCACGCTTACCCACTCTTTGTGCTAGAAACCAAGTAAATGACACTTATAGATTGTGTTATTTATCAGAACTAATTTTCATATGAAATGAAGCGATACTAGGGTACAATAGTTGTAGTTCAATACTTTCTATTAGATTTTTCTAACTAACTAGTGACAGAAGTTGCATTAATTTTGTTATTTCAGAGATGATAAATTTCCTATAAATTGATGTTGCTCAGCTAAAAACAGAAAGCTGCTTTTGAATATGAAAGCTTAGGTGCTTCACCAGTAAATGCTGTTGACCACATGGAATATATCAACTATCTTGCACATGCTCATACTTTTTTTAAATCATCTGTCAAACTGAATTTGGTACTGGGCTTTGACTTGTGTACATAACAAATTGTGAAAGTGGTAGAGGATAAATTAGAAAATATAAGCAAGTATTCTTCATTATTTATCTGCTGAAAAGATAGTAATGCATTGTCATTCTCCAGTGCTTGCTTTTTAGATTACTTTTAAGGCTACTTTCAGATCTTATTTTTTCCAATATCGACTCATTTCTGTGCATATCAGTTCATTAATTGTATACTTTTTTTTCTGCAATAAACTTCTGTACCAAAATGCACTGTACAGTAATTGTGTGATATGTGCCTTCTAGGAGCGTTCATTCCTGGAGTTCCGGTACAGCCAGTGGTTTTACGTTATCCAAACAAACTGGTAAGTTCAGTTGGAAACATGGGGCATTTTCCTCTAAGTACATTGGCACTTTTGTAATCTTTTAGGTTAGGTAAATAGGTTTAGAAATTTGGAAATCATTAATGAATGCTTATTGGCTAAGTGTGCATTTGTTAAGCCTCTAGCAGTATAAATAATCTTAACTGAGGCAGTTCAAATGTTTCTGCTTTTATTAGGTTACTCCTAAACAGTGCTTTAAAAGTTAATCAGTTTGTTACAGGAAGTACTGTACAAGTGACAGAAAGTGATGTCTTGTCTAGGATCTGTGTTCCCATGTGCTCCCTGTACTGCAGTGTGCGCTGAAGAGTTTTCCTGATATCGTTTATAGCTGGAAGATGCTTCTGCACCCCATACTTGTAGGGGTGTTGGTCGCAAATTAACGCAACTAGCTAAATGGTAATAGAATAATATGTTGAGGAGTTCACTTCCATAAGGTGTCGTCTTGTCCATGGTTTGCATTCACTGTGCACTTGGATAAGGGATGCTAGACATTGACTAATTTGGAGTAGTCCTTCAATATAAATCAGATTCGGGTAAAATGCAAATTATAGTGTGTATTTAATAATATATAAATTGATTTTTACAAATGCTTGTAAAGATATAGGCAAACAAATTAGGGCAGACCTCACTTTACCAACTTCAAGAACAAGCCTACAGGAAACAGGAAAGCAGAGAAGAGCTTTATGTTTCGGTTTTTGTTTTGGGTTGGTTTTTGTTTGGCTTTTTTAATTATTATTCAGTTTACTTGATGTGAATACTTTCTTGTCCTACTGCAGCCAGAATCCTGTCTGTCTGCATTCCTCGGTTTATTTTAGAAGATGCTTCTTGGAGAACTTTGCTTGCTTTTATACTTGAAGTTTCTTTTTGAGCTCTCTTGGGCTGTTTTCAGGTCCAGTCTGTCCGCTTCAAAAATAGAACTTATTTAGGAGAGGGTGGGAGAAGTGTCAGCAGTAAAATAAGGACTACCTTGGCCGATGCCTGTCACATCAGGAGATCTCTTTGACTAGCCCTTTAACCCCTTGATCTAAGGAAGGATTTCAGCTCCTGTTGGTACCTGTAGCGCTTAGAAGTGGTTCCAACCATTGTTCTTTCTTTCACTTTAAAGGTTGGTGTAAGACACATGCTTGATTAAAAAAGAAAAGAATCTAAGCAAAGGTAATTTACATAGAGCTCTTGACTGAGACATGGTGTGATGGCAGTCAACTAGTTTGCAGTAACAAAGCCCAAAATTATCTTTGTGGATGCTGTGACAAGAATAGCTGCCTGTTATGCTTGCATAGTATAAAGTGTGTTTTAACAGGTTGCCTGGGACTTCTCATTACATAATTGTTTTATTTTCAGGAAGAAAGATTCTTTTAGAAAAGAATGTTTATTGCACCGGCAGTTTAAGTTGCAAATGTGCACATGCCTGATATCATACTTCACTGAATGTAACATGGTATATCAGCATTAAGCATTTTATAACAATATAAAACTATCAAATGTTAATTTTTAAGTCTTCAGAAATCCATTTTCATACTGAAATGTCCTTATTACCTGTAGTACATGATATGCAATGTTTCAGCTAATAATATTCCTAATGTTCTATTAACAGAAATGGTCAGCTTTTTACATTGAAGTAAAACAATATAAATTTTAACAAAATTTTCCATTTTTTTATATTAGCGCAAAATGTCATAAAACAAACTCTAAATATTTATATAGATATCCATCTGAGTTGGCCTGAATCTGTGCATGGAACTTTACTTTTCCCTACCACTTTTGATTGCTTTAAAACCCTTAGTTTTCAGTGCCTTATGGAATCTTTTAACCTCCTGCAGTCTACTTCCACTAAGCACTAATGAGGGAGGGATAATTGCTATCAATGTTTGACTTTTAGATTAGCTTGGGTGGGCTGAAGAGGATTTGCAGCAAGGTTAGAATGCGGAGGAAGGAGAAACATGATGTGATGTGTGAAGGTGAGGTTTATTTTGATTAGGGTACAGTTAAGAGTTAGGTAGCAAGTAAGAACAACAGAGTAGGGAGGAAACATTGTTTTGCATACACTGTTTTTTTTTTGTTTGCCACTGCATATTATAATTTTAGGTTTATAAAGGAGTTTAAGATCTTTGCTTAGTCAGTGAATTCCAGGTACGCGTTGTATTCAGTCACCACACTGCTTTTAGCTTGGACTGCCTGCTCTGATCCACCTCCAGAGCCCTGAGTTACACAGTACAGATGAGAACATTCTTGAACTTGAGTGCACCGACTCTTTTGGGAGGCTTTTTGAGGTCGGAGCCTGGGGTGAATGTAGTAGGTGTGTGATTTACCTGTTGATTTCCTTGTACTCTATTCAAGAACTAGGGAAAGTACTATTGACTGGAACTTGTGGCAAAATTGGTAATGTAAATTCGGGCTTTCTCTAGCAAATAAATCTAATTCTGGTTACCATGAAGAAGTCTATAGTCAGGTTTGCCCCCTGAATACCTTTTTTCTTTGGGTTTACAACTATTTTCAGTACATGATGCCTCTGGTCCCGTATCAATGTTATTTTAGGAGTAATGTGTTAGTGTCTTGCCCCTCCTGATGCGTGAGTGGAAAGAAATTATAAGGCTTAAAATGTTGTTTAGACATGAAATTCAAAATTTACTTCTGTTTAGCTAGTTTGGTAGCGTTTTGCCTATTGGATGCTTGACAATTATTACCTATAATCTGATTAAAATGAATGTTCTAATGTTTCCATCCATAGGTTATACAGGAGTCATTTTGAAGTTCTTTTTTACACTGGTTATCTTTGTGTCTTTCCTTCATTTGAGTTTTCTGTCAGAGTGCTGGTAATTATGAAAGGCTATCTACCTGTTTAAATATCACAGAGCCGTTTTAAACGTATTTTTATGTCCAGGTGTCTTCTACAGGTAACTCTGCTATTTGATAAGAGGTTTGGCAGCATCTCCTGCGCAGCTTTGGTGTACCAAGGTTGGCTGAGTATATAAAACAACAGCCAATCTGCTGTTTGAAGTTTGGCACTGTTCTCAGTATCTTCTTGTGTCAAATAAAAATTATATGGAAGAGGTACTTCCACGCAGTTCAAAGAATTCATTGTCTAGATGGAAAAGTTTCCAAGTGTACTCAGAATGCTGTCAAAGTGAGTTCTATCCATAAAGATAAGCTGGTAGCTGTGATAAATATAAAAGGTATCTAAACTAAGTGCAGAATATACCACTTCTCATCTTCTGCTTCCTGCTTTTATTGTAAAAATACTGGATATTCTGGCAAGAGTCTCCTACAAAACAGGTCTGCCTCTTGCAGATGAGAATCCTGTTTTCTACTATGTAGCAATTATAGCCATCACCCCTGCTGTGTCCTCATGTTCTCAATGAGAAAAGCATGCATGTCTGATGTGACATTCACATTGGGAATTTCTTGCAGGATTGCTGGTAGGTATGTGGCTTATTTGAGTTTGTTTTGTGACTGGATATTGTGACTATGTTTCCAGCATAGTGACTGGAATGTGAAAATATCTGTTTGCTGTTCAGTGATCCGTTGCCCCGGCCAGGTGGTTTTCTAAGAGCTCACTTTTTGCTTTGTCTCCTTTTGCACTGTTGCAATTTGGAGAGCCGAGTTGGATATGTGCAGTGCTGTGTTGTTGTTCTACATAGCATATCTAATCTCAGGTGAGAGAAATTACCACTTATCTACATTGCCAAAATGTCAGGATTTGTAAATGAAAGCTTCTTGTGGGGAAAAAAAGCCCTGTAAGACTTCTATTTGCAGTATTACCAGAGACATCAAAATTGCCAGAAACAGTTTAACAGCAGAACTGAAGACATTAAAGTTTTAGAAGATCACTGCATGGCGAAGTCTATTTTCATGCATATATGTTGATTGCTAGATACAGAACTGTTCCTTATATCTTGGTTGACTTTAAAATAATAGTTGAAAGTCAACATGTAAATTTTTAGTAGACCTTACTCCAAGTTGTTGATCTATCACATTCATCACATTTTTCACTTTTTATGGATGTGTTGCTTTCTTTCATTTTAATCGTGACAACCTTTTGCTCTAAGTGGTAATTAAAATATGAGTTTGACTTGATTTTTTTCAAGATCATGGCACATGGGATCACATAACTCTCTAAAATGGTTCTTTATATTAGCACAGAACTGAACTGGAATAATTTTAGTAGGTTGACAGAAGTATGCCTCTGATCTGTCAGAAACCTGAATTTACCAGGTCCTCTTATCTTTCTGTTAGTGATTTGTAGTTTTTTTTCTTTTTCAGTTGGCCAAAACAGTAGCTGGAACTTATTTTCAATTTTTTTTTGATCCTTACTTCTACACTTAAATCTTGTCTCCCAGTGTTGCAGTTTTTTCTCCACAGTCTTAAAAATGTGATGACCTTTACTGTCATATTCCTTCTTGACCCTTGTTATACGCTCTTTTCCAGATCACTGTTCCCTTTTGTTATTTGCATCTTGTTCATTTCTTTTACTGCTGTTTGGCTTCTCTTAGCATACATGGTTCATCTCAGTCATATAAAAGTGGTGCTGGTTTTGCCTGAGAGTAAATCGGTGGGTTTAGATGTCTTGTAATGTACCTTTTGATTCTTGGATCAGGCAGGTGAATATATGATGTCTGTGAGTAAAGGCAACTGGAAAAATACTGTTTGTGGTAAGACAAAAGGTCTTATTTATCCTGCTGCTCATGTCCGTTGAGCAGATTTCCTGTGAGTCATCCCCACAGGTCCCAGACACTTTGTGTTACAGCATGTTCGTATCTGTTGCTGGGAAGTCCAAGTAAAGTATAGGGACACTTGAGGGATGCCCTGTTGAGCAGGGTGGGTTAGGAAAATATACATGGACAATGCATATCAAGCAACATCATCTTAGAGTAAATAACTTTCTTTTCCAAGGCTAACAACATTTGAAGAGTCTCTGCATCTTTAACTGTTTTGTAAACATAGATATTACGTGTTTAAGAGGTAGATTACTAGGCTGATTCCTCGTGCAACTAAGAACTTTTGTAGATGGCATTGAAGTTTCCATGAAAACCTTTCAGTCATATGTCATCAGTTATCTATAATGCAACAAAAGTTTAAAGTGCAGCAATTAATTGCAACTGTCATCCCTCTTTTCCTAGGATACAATCACATGGACATGGCAAGGGCCAGGAGCGTAAGTGGTTTGTGTTTTATTGCTTGCATCATGATCACTTTCCTTCATTAGTTCTTGTTTACATGACTTACACGCATGTATAGTTGAGTAGTAATTCTAGTAAATTTATTTTTTGGGATAAATTTATATCTTTTATCTAGTATTCCCTAATTATTATAATATTCAGAGGAATCCAGGTATAAACAGTCTACTTCTATGATTTTAATGGTTTGCAGAATGGATTTTAGGTTTTTATTTCAAATTTTTTTAGCCAAGTACCTGAAGTAAAACAACTTGCTTCTGCTTTATGTATTTTATTCCCTCTAAATCAATTTGGTGTGTTTCTGTATAAAATCTGTATGGCTATTTTTTTAAATTGGTGTAGTCCCATGGAAGCAGTCAACCCACTCAGGCATTTGGAGATACTTCTTCCATTACCTTGCCTGAATGTAACTTGATTTTTTTTTTAAAACAAAATGCTATTCTAGAGGTTCTTGGCAAGTTCCTGTGATGTAAAATACTAAATGAAGCAGTTCTTCCTTGTTTTAAAAAAATGTTTTTTAGCATTATTTTCATGTTGGGGTTGGAGTTGAAGTTCTGAAATGTTTGGATGAAGTTCAAACCAAGAAATTTTGAACCCTAAGTAAATGGGAGTTGAATTGTATGGTTAATGGCTTGCTATTAGCCTCCTCCTGGGGAAATGTTTTGAATGTCCCACCTGAAATCCTATACTTTAGTACTAATGAGGAAAATTAGCCAAGATTCATATAACTTAGAATTTTGCTACTTAATTTTGCACCTTCACATGGACTGGTAACCAGGTCTAATTAAGGACATATCTACATTAAGGTGAACAGAAGGCTGAACACCTCTTCTGTGAAGATAGGCTGAGAGAGTTGGGGTTGTTCAGCCTGGAGAAGGCTCAGTGAAGGCTTACAGCAGCCTTCAGTACCTAAAGGAGGCCTATAAGAAGTCTGGAGAGGGGCTTTTTATGAGGGCCTGTACTGATAGGACAAGCGGAAATAGCTTTATACTGAAAGCAGGGAGATTTAGATTAGACACTAGGAAGAAATTCTTCACTATGAGGGTGATGACGCACTGGCACAGGCTTCCAAGAGAAGCTGTGGCTTCCCTATCCCTGGCAGTGTTCAAGCCCAGGTTAAACTGGGCTTGGAGCAATCTGGTCTAGTGGAAGGTGTCCCTGCCCGTATCAGAGGGGTTGGAACTGGGTAAACTTTAAGGTTATTTCCAACCCAAACCATTCTGTGATTCTATGATTTGGAAACTCGAGGAGATCATTCATCACTTTCAAAGGTTCAGCTTTCAATTAAATCATCACGTTGGAAGTAGATGAATCCATTATAGCGTCCAAAGTAGGTACTACAGTATTTGCTGCATGCAGAGATTTCTGTTCTCAGTGAGCTCGTACCTCTTCCCTTGCATTTGCATTGCAGTTCATCTAGCAAATAAACTCAGCCAGAGGGGAGAAAGGTAAATAGCTTATGTCCAGCTTAGTGTCCTACCTGAGGAGTCAAGAACACAAGGAGAAGGAAGAGGGAAGGAAATTGTGGTTTTGTAGCCTCAGATCACTTTAATGTACAAAACACTCGGAAGTGCTGACCTCTGTTAATAGTGTTAAATTAAAAATCTGAGGTAGTACGCAAGTTTACTGGGTCAGTTTAAGTTACAGCTTTACTTAATTAGGACTAATTCTCCTGAGTGACCTAAAATATATTTATGATGTCTTGACAGAAAATACTGTTAAGACTGATGCGGTCTTCACTTCCTCAGCAAATGCCTCTCTTCTCTGTCACAGTCTTAGCAAAAATTTAATCAGGGAATGTTACTGTATCCAGGAGTATACTGTTTCTTCAGAAGTGGTGTAGCCTAGAAAATGGTTTGAGAACTTGCCACATGGAAACTTAAGTCACTTTCTTCCACTTATGGAAAGTAATGTTTTTACTTGTTTGACAGATTGACTGTGACTCCACCTTGAAAACACAGATTGACTGTAGCGTACAACTTACATTTATTTTTTTTTTTTTTCTACATTGGACTTGAGTTGGATACAGGTTCTGTCAGTTTTTAAATTGACATTTAAATGTTAAGGTTTATTCTTTGAAGATCGCAGAAGTTGACAGAAGACTTCACGTCTAACTTACTGGGTTCTTGGACAAGGGTCTAGAAACCACATTTACATGTTTCCTGTCAGTGATGTAAACTTCAAATCACAAGTTCCACACTTGGTTTTGCCCCTTTTCTTTGCTTTAATGTTTTGGAAGTTCAGTGGGAATCAAGGGAGAAAAAACATGTTGCAGCCCTGAATGACCTGGTGGCAAAATGAGTAGGGTGTTGCTTCTAGGAGCTGCACTTTATCTACTTAAGAGGATTTTGACTAGCCCTCACCTCATGATTGATTGCTGTAACTACCCACATACTGTATAAACTGTTGCTACTAACACTGCTCCCTAAATTAGGGTTGCTAAATCCTTTCCTGGATTTGATTCTTACTGCTTTCTAAGGTCAAGTTGATCCCAGTTATTTTGTGCCTTAGGCTACTAAGACACACGTACTGCATTTCATGAACTTTGATTCCAAACCAAGGTAACAAGTAGTTGTAATTAATCTTGCCAACTCTATGCTGAATACGACATTTTCCTGATATGCACTTACTTTTTCTGGACACACTATACATACGTCATCTCTTACTGGATGTGTTAGTACCTGTGTATCATATTACTGTTTGGAAATCTTTTAAGATGCAACTCCAATGCAGATTGCTTTTGTTCCACCTTACAGAATGTCATGGATAAAAGTACCTTCAAAGGCTTTTTCTGTTATTTTTTTTATCTAAACATGGTCATATTCTAGTTGAAGACTTTGGAGCATAACGTACTACTGTTTTGATACCTGTAGATGTATTTCCTCAATCATTTTCCTATTTTGTTTTGTTTTGTTTCTTTCTAGGTTAGAAATTCTGTGGCTCACTTTGTGTCAGTTGCACAATTCTGTGGAAATTGAGGTCAGTAAAAAAACCCCAGTGTATTCTGAGCAGTATCAGAATACATAATATTATACTTACTTCTGCAGTAAAAAGTTTGTATTCAAACTTTGTATGTATGTCTGTACAAACAGGCTAAATGGCTTCTGTATCTGAAAAAGTAGCCTAAAAAATGCAATAAGACTTGGCTTAAGACTTTACTTACTAATTTAAATCGACAGATTTCTGACTTTGTTTAGAGCCTTTCCTAAACAATTCTTTTGTCTTTTACCTGCCTGATTTCTTCTACACCTAGCATACCGACTGTGTAATTTAGATATCCAAGTGTCTGACTGCTGGATAAGAATTAATGACTATTTTCTAGAGAAAATGAATTGTAGGTAGTTTTTTACTATTCTATGATTTTATAGGCCAGATAAGTTATTTAATATGTTGGGCTGATTTTTTTTTATTAGGCTGCACTGTTCAGAATGTGAAATTGGAAAACAGAAAACCTATGTCTATTTTTAACTTTGTTTGAGGAAAACACTGTGATCATAAGGCTGAAGCCTAGTGAAGCTACATAGCCAATTAAATAGTTTTAAGTCACTGTCCTATGCATTTTACAGAAAGTAATTGCATTCTTTTGAAGTACTGTATTTTAAAAGTGTTACATAGGATATTTGACAGATGTTCTACATTTCTCATGCTCAGATTTTCTAATAATGAAGCAGCTATTTATGTCTGACTGATGGAACTGATGGCAGGGTAAATTAGAAGAACTGTTACAGATTTACATACACATATATGTTAACATAGTAACATATAACACATGACAGTCACAGTATTTATCACTGCAGTGTGCTCTTCATTTATTTGCAGTATGAATTCTCAAAAATAATGAATGCACAAAATAGCAGCCAATGAATAGTTGTATCTGTTGCAGAGATCTGCACTTTATCGCTTTAGTCATATGTTTCTACCTATCAATAGTTTATATATTTATATAAAAAAAAATCTTATTTCCAAAATAGTGGCCTGGTTTTGACAGATGGGCCAGTGAGTATCTGCCTGACACAGGTGATTGGCAGGATTTTTACTGTCTCTCAGGATCATGGTTTTCTGCTCTAGGCAAGTAAAATGGGCTCTTTTACACAGAAGTGAACACTGCTGAGCTGTCTTGATTTTTGAGGTAGCAGATGCTGAGGTTGTGTAGCTCATAATCTTCCATAAGGACAAGTTATGATCTTTGGTAGTCTTTAAAAAAAAACAACCAAAAACTAGTGGATGTTTGAAATACTCCACGCTAAAAAGCAGGAGTTTTCAGAATGTAGAGGAGCAGAGCTGTTTGCAAGGCTGCTTGCAAGTATGAGGCAGAGAGAGTACTTGGGAGCTCCTTGTGGAGTCTGGTTTTATAAGGAAGTGTGGGAGATCTAGGAATGTAGAGGAAAAATGAGTTGTTCTGTGTTCAGAGTCATGTTTTTCCACTGGTTTTCAAAGCTTGTTGACTTTTATTCCTGCTTTGTTCCATCAGCACAGGGTTACGGGCAAATGCCAACCAGCCTTGGTGCTAGAATTACTGCTGAAGATCCAATAACTCAGGGATGTGTAGAGCAAGACAACACAGTTTCAGTAAGGATATGTAGTAAGGTCTAACAGCCAGCAGTCAGGATCTGAAGTTCATTAGTCTGGGCTTCTTTGCATGTAATTTATGTTCTGTCATACCAGACATGTCATCCTGCATGTTTATTGAGAAGCAAGCATCTGTGTAGAATTCATAATTGATTGTTATAAATATTGGCCCACCCATCCTTCCATCCTGTACTTGGAACTGGCATGAAAGCAGTCTTGTGAAGAAAGAATATATGATCATCTGCAAGTGAGGTTTGTTTTGGCTCCTGCCAGTTTGTTTTGCTGGCCTGTCAGCTTCAGTGTTTGTACATCCATCAGTTTGTAACAGCTGAGAGTTCTTCTCATAGTTTTGTTAGGGGTGCTGAAATGATCATGCTATTTCTGTCTAGTTAGAGACATGTAGAGCACC